TGAAGAACAAAAAAAAAAAAAAAAGAAAAAAGAAAAAACAGACAGTAAATTCCAGGTTACAGTGAAAGCAAACCCCTGATGGGTATCAGGAGGCATTTTAAAGGGTTATACTTTCTTTTTGCCCATGCCTAAAGTGAAAAAGTCCTGAGAAGAAAATGAGCAGTTGCTTCCTCCTTTGCCCCGAGAGGCTGGAGAGCACACGAGCCTCTAAGTGCACTTAAGGCTCCTCTGGAGCTGACCCCTGCCCCACCTATCACAGCCTTAGTCCAAGAGGCATGACTGAAGCCAGGTAAATACAGGATGATTGCAACCTTCTGCCTTGCAGATGATAATGCGTCTCTCTTAGAGCTGTAATCTGCAGGATGGCTGTTAAGGAAAAAGCACACAGTGCAGAAGATTTTTTTGTACATGTGATCTCATTTTCTAGAGGGAATGAATGCACTGAGGTGTGGACTGGATGGGAAGATGAAAAGATGCATGAATGGGCTCCTCTTTTCTCCACTTTCAGTAAATATCCTAAATGTTAAATTACTGCTTAGCTTGCCTGCAAACGTCAGGGAAAGGGAACCTGAGCTAGATCTAGCAAATGCCCAGGTTTAGAAGCTGGTTTGGCTCTTGAGAAAGGAGACAAGAAGCAGCTCAGAGCTAGGACATGGGGAGCCACAGAATCAGTAGACTTTCCTTTGCCTTCTCCTCTCACTTGGCCCTCCATAGTTTGACAGGGGGAAATTACTTGGCAAATACCCAATGATCCAGGAGCTTGTTTAAATCTGTAGCGTTGCCTGGCTCACAGCAAAAAGGTTTCCTTTACCTTCCTCATGGGTTGCAGGAGCGTTTTCAGATTGATAGGTAGGAAAAGAGTGGTTATCTTCTGATTTTTCCTCCCACAATGTGAAGTTGTTCCTGAGCATCACCAACTAGTCATGTCTGCTTCCCGCAGCCCACCTTCACCCTTACACAAAATCACCACTGGTTCCTGATCTGTCCTCCTAAAATTCCCATCCTGTTCTTTCACACATAGAACCATTCAAGAATATCTTAAAAGTTTATCAGCTATTCTCACACTCTCTGCTATCCAATGAAGGATAGAGGTCCTTCCTTCAAGAGGAACAAACAAGCAGAGGTCAGAATGTATATATGTAAGAAATGGACACAAAATATTCGTATAAGTCCTCTAGTATTTTCATACAGCCATTACACATCCATAGTAGCATATTTATTTGTTCTACCAGTATACGTTGATATAATATGTGGTGTTGTATCACATGTGCCAAACATTTTTTTAAATAATACTGGAGCACAAATATATCATTTGCTTTATAGAATGCACCCTTCCAACTGCTTCTGTAGACACATAAGTTGATTCAGCTGAGCAAAGTGGGTTGAATCATCCTCCGTCCTCTGTGGATTCAGTCTCTTGCAGAATAAGGGCTTCTCACCAAGACTGCTGTACACTTGAATGTAACTGCCTTTACAAAGATCGTTTAAACAAATCAGGGAATAGAAAACAGATTTGCTAGAAGCTTCAATTTTCATAGACTGCAGTTCCACCCCTCTGATTCAGAGTGGTATGGAAAACCCCTACAAGGCAGCTGTCAGATTGTTTCCCTCTTTGCAGGCTGCACACACTAGGCACCTTTTT